ACTTGCCAAAAAAAAAAAAAAATCCTTCAAACAAACACATGGTATTGTTTTTGTATCCATTTCTTTCTTTTATGTTGACCATGACTGAAATGGGAAGAGAGGTGCAGGAATTATATGTCACTATATTTCACTAGAGTTTAATAAATCCTTTTATATATATATAAGTTATATTTTACATAGGACTCTAGGACTCTTAGATGATGTTTATTTACAAGCTTGCAGACGTAATCTCATCCACCTTTTCTTGAATAGGAACAGTAGCTAGAACGGAAGAACTTATCTCTCCAATAAACACGGCTTTGCAGAGCTTATCTCCTCTTCCACCAGGATTGTAGAGCTTATCTCCTTTTCCAGTAGGAACGACTTCCCTAGATGGACTTTTTCTTAATACTTCCTCACAAACTAATTGTGAAAGGTGTCCAATAGTAAGTTTATCCAAGTAAGAACTCAAACCGACCAATAGACGGAGGCTTAGTGAAAATATACGCGATCTGATCCCGTGTAGAAATGAATTTTACCTGCAAGCTCCCCCTTGTAACCATGTCGCGGACGAAGTGGAAGTCAATTTCCACATGTTTGGTTCGAGCATGAAAGACCGAGGTCACAGCTAAATATGTGACTCCAATGTTATCACACCATATAATTGGCTTATGTACCGGTGTAGCTCTATTTCACCCAATAAGGATGTAACCCACCCACATTAGTTCAACTGCTAGATCAACAATAGCTTTATACTCGGTCTCGGTAGAGCTTCATGCCACTATTTTTTGCTTAGAGGACTTCCAAGTAATCAAATTTAGCCCTAAGTAAACCGCATATCCTCCCGTAGATTTTCTATCCTCTAAAGAATCAGCCCAATCGAAATCGGAGAAACCTATGATGAGTTGAGAGGTGGACCTCCTAATATGCATGCCATAGGTGGAGGTGTGCTTCAAATACCACAGAATTTGTTTCACAACTACCCAATGGTTTGACTATGGGTTATGCATGAATTGACACCCTTTGTTTACCGAAGGTGCAATATTTGGTCTAATGAGTGTAGCATATTGAAGGGTACCTATAACTTGTTGATAAAGAGTGTGATATGAAAACAATTTGTATCCCCGACTTTGAGCTTAGACGTGGTTGGCATGGGTGTGGTGATAAGTCGACAATCTAACATGTCCAATTTTTTAAGGATGCCAATTATGTACTTCTATTGAGAAAGAAGAATACATATAAAAGTTTTAACGACCTCTATGCCCGGAAAGTAATTGATGCCATCAAGGTCTCGTGTTGTGAACCTAAAGATCATGGCTTGGATTATTGTTTGGAGAAAAGTTGAATTATCACCAATGATTAAAATATCATCAACATACATTAGCAAAAACACTCTACAACCATGAGCTATGTAATAGACCGGAGAAGGATCTATTTTGGAACCTACAAAATTGAATGACAATAGAAAGTCTTGCGGACATGAAAACCAAGCCCGTGGAGACTATTTGAGCCTGTACGAGAGACTTGTGAAGTTTACAAACATGATTATGATATTAGGCATCAACAAAACCCATTGGTTAGGCCATGTAAACCGCTTTATAGAGTGTGACATTAAGAAATACATTGTGCACATCTAGTTGTTTAATGGGCCAATCGTGGGAGACTCGCTAAGGAGACAATAACTCCGATAATGGCAGGCATGACCACTAGGCTAAAAGTCTCCCTAAAATCGATTCCTTCATGTTGGTGATAGCCTTTGGCAATTAACCTTTCCTTATACCTTTCGATACCACCATTTCCATGTTTTTTTTTGTTTTAAAGACCCATTTATTCCCGATTATGTTCATTGAAGGAGTTGCGAGGACGAGGGACCAAGTTCCTATTTTTGAAAGGGCATTGAACTCGGATTCCATAGCCTTGCACCATTCAGCATGTTGTTTAGCTTCGAGTGTAGCAAGATGGGCTTTCAAGAACGGTCATGTGAGATACTACAAGAGTCGTTTTTAGCCCTATATGCCATAGGACCATAAGGTGTATCCGTATGGGTTTCGGATTGAAAGAGGTACTTTTACCTGCACACTAGTTAGTAAAGTCATATTTGATAAAGTCTTACAATAAATTTAAAGCTATGGTGGTAAAGGATCGATTTTAGCTTGATAGTTGGTGAGGTAAATGGGCTATTGATTTTATGGATTATGGGTGGTGAGGTAAATGTTTGGGCTATCATGTTGTTGCTACATGTGGGAGTGTTTGGGTTTAGCCTTTTTGGTGACTAAGCTATAGGTGAAGTGACGTGATACCGACTACGTGTAAATCATGGAGAGAGGATGGATTAGGACGAATGGGGACACTTATCCATAGGATTGAATCATTTTTCCGAGTGGTTGATTTGGTAGAAAATTCATTTTTTGTAAAGGGAAAAATTGTTTCAACGAGAGCGAATGTGGCGAGCTATATAAAAACAATTTTTTGTTTTGTTAAGACAGTGATAACTCAAATGTAATGGGTTGTAGCCCAAAAATAGTAAGGTATAGATCGAAAATCAATTTTGTGATGGTAATAAAGGCCTTAGGTATGGAAAGCAAAGACAACCAAAAAGTTTCAAAAAGAGTAATTTAGGGTTTTATGAAAGACGAGTTCGGAGGGTGATTTGTACTTGATGATAGAAGAGGGCATTCTATTAATTAAAAAAATAATAGTTTTAAATGAGAAAGTCTAGTATTGTTTGGAAATGTGGGCCTCGGCTAAGTGGGTGAGGCTCGTTTCCATAATGTGACGATGTTGTCTTTTTATAGTTCCGTTTTACTCATGAGTGTGAGGGCACATGATATGATGAGCAATTTCAATGTTTTAAAAAATTTTATTTAGTCTTTGAAATTTCTCTCCTAATCAATTTAGACTTGTTTAATTTGACAATTAAATTGACATTCAACCATTTTTTGAAACTACATAATGACATTATAAACCTTTGATTTTTTTTTTTTTTTACAAGGGATAAAACCAAATACATTTGGAGAAGTGGTCAACAAAAATAATATAGTATTTAAAACCATCAATAGAGGCAATAGGGAAGGTTCTCAAACATCACTCAAAATCAAATCCAAAATACTAGTGCTTAAAGTGTTTGATAAAAGCAATGATAAACGACTTGTTTTCCCTAATGGACAAAACAAGCATCGACTAGAAAAATTCAAAGAGTTTGATAAAGAATTTTATTTTAAAAAGAAAATTTAGTACTCGTGGTGGGGATGACCTATTCGGAGTGCCAAACATTTGTAGAGACTTTTGCTTGAAAAGGCTTTAGAAATGAAATTGGAAGATGGAGGCTTTAGGGAGTATAGGTCGACATCACTCCTTCTTGATGAAGTTTGGTCTTATATACCTAGTCCTTGACACAAAACAAGAAAAGGTGAAATTCCCAAAATAGGTTATTATCCTTAGCAAAGCGTTTAACGGATAGCAAGGGTCCGGTTATTTATGGGACATGTAACATATCAAGTAATGCTAGAATTTTAGTAGGTGTTTTAATATGACTAGAACCATTATACAAAATAGGTAAAAACTCACTAATGCGAACCCGAAGTTGTTCATTACCGGTGTATATATGCGCTGAAGCCGACCTAATCCGGAGTCACATGGTGGGATACATTGGTGTTAAGCCACCAAACATGGAAGCACGACATGAAGGAAAAAGGGGCAGTGAGGTTAGCCACAAGCTGTTGCTATCTCATGTGGCGTTATGGGCGGTGAACAGACAATGTGATTCTAAAAGGAGCAAATTTGGCATTTGGTGCGAGAGTCTTGCTTGTTCTAATAGCTCCTAGTTTTAGACCGAAAGAAGCTATCATATCCGGAGGTTGAACGGCCATATCCTCGGCCTCTAAGCTCGTATGCCACAGCCATAGTTGTAGCCACCATAGTGACTTACGTTTTTTATTATCATGTTGGCAATAGATGGAGTAGGCAATAAAGCTATCCTTGGTGGTGAAGGTATGTTTGAATCTTGAATGAGAAACTTATGACCGACCAAGAAGCTATGAAGGTCGGTGAATAGAACTAGTTCAGTACAAATTGACAGTGGTGGTGATAATATCCTTAAAGTCACTAGACAAGCCCTTAAAGATGTAGAGATTAAAGTCGATTAAAGAGAGAGAACAATCACTGCTATCGACTTGTCACTAAGTGTTTTGGCACAATGAAGGAATTAAGACACCGACTCACGAGACTCCCGCTTTATCCTTTATAAAGCAAGATGAAGTATCATTATGTGGTTGTTAGAGAGGAAAGCCAGGCCACTCTCAAGTGCACGCCCGACCTCTTGTGAGGTGGTGCAATTAATGACCATGGGGGGTACATCTCTAGAGAGAGAAAAGATGATGTTGCTCATTAAGAGCGAGTCCTACTAGATCCATGCTTTGTGAGTAGGACTAATTTGAGGAAAACTAACATCATTTGTAATAAAATGACTTGAAGGGCAAGGGAAGGAGCCATCAATAAGTCGAAGAGGTCTTGACCAAGAAGGAATGGTTTTAGTTCGATTCTCCACAATAGGTAGTTGGTTTGGATTAATTTTAGAGAGATGAAGTGGTGGGAGTTGTTTAGTTGGGTTATAGAGGTCTGCGATTGAAGAACAAGTAGAGTTGTTTCAGCGAGTGGTGGTGGGAGATGTTGTGTTGATGGAGGAGCCATTGTTGTTTTTGTTTTTTAGAAGAGGAAGGAAAATAGAAGGTGTTTGTTGGAGAAAGGAAAGGACGGAAGGAGGGTCTATTGTGGGAGGTATATTTAGGCAATAGCTAGTGTGTTTTGGTAAGGGAAAAAGAAAAAGAAATTTATAATGACTGGTGTGATTTTAGGCGATAGCTAGCGTAATTTGCAGCAGGAAGGAGATATTTTTTTTTTTTGATGTAAAGCTAAATGGAAGCACTAGAAAAAAAAAAAGGAAGGGAGAGACATTTTGGAGAGGGACGTGTAGAGTTTACATGGCTATTATATATCCGATCAAGCACACGAGAGTTTGGTTGTTAAGCCTTGTAAGGCTCGATACTAGATTGAAATGGGATGGAAGGCGTAGGAATTATATGCCACTATATTTCACTAGAGTTTAATACATCCTTTCATATACATACAAGTTATATTTTACATAGGACTCTAGGACTCATAGATGATGTTTATCTACAAGCTTGTAGAAGTAATCTCCTCTACCTCTTCTTGAGTAGGAACGAGTAGCTGGAATGGTAGAACTTATCTCTCCACCGGACACGACTTTGCAAAGCTTATCTCCTCTTCCAGCAGGATTGCAAAGCTTATCTCCTTTTCCACTTGGAACAACTTCCCTATATGGACTTTGTCTTAATAACCATGAACACAAATTATAAATAATTACTTTCACCACATGCTACAAAATTACATTGAATATTCAATTTAAAAAGATAAAGATAAATTATGTTAGGAATAATTGTTAATATAATACAAAAGCATGTACATAAATTAATACTATATATATTAATGTATCCCAACAAGTTAGGTTTCTAGAGCTAATATGAATCTATTTTGATTTATCAAAGGAAAAAAAAATTTACATTAAGAGTGCACATCACATGATTTTAAATGTAAGTATTAAGAAGTTGGATGATTAAGGAGGTTTGTTTTCTTTCTTGACTTTTTGAATCCAAACCTTAAACTAACACTTAGAGAAATTTATTCTTTTAAATACAATAGAACAATAATAAAAGTTTGGTTTTTTAAATTTGTCTAGATAGATATGAGACTTAGTTCTTTGATGCCTAAGTTGATTGAAAATAACCTCTAATTGTGAATAAAAGAATATATTTCTCAACACAAAAAAAATATATATATATATATTATATATACATTCTCAAAAAAAAAGACAAAATTAAATGAAAATAGAAAGAGTAGAATCTAAGTTTGAGAATGAGAGAAAGTAAAATAATACTAATAATAATAATAATAATGCTAGAGATATTTAATTTTTTTATACCGAACTACTTTATGAAATGATGTGATGTCATGCAATTGATATTTTATTAATCATTCAGTTTCATGCATATAATTATTTCGAGCTAGTTTTTGCATAAATCGATGCAAAGTCTTGAGTTAAACAAATGTTAGAACAAGTTTATCTTTTTGTCAATTATTGGGTTGTTTCTCGGATTAAATCGATCTAAGTTTAGTACTACTAAAAAATAATTATTATTAGTTATTCGTATTTTTAGTGGAAATTGAACCTTAGTCTTTGTCAAATAAAAAAAAAAAACCCATTTTATCGCTATACCATCTCTCCATGTTATGTGATAAGTTATACAATCCATGATTTGAATTTTTTTTCTTATAAATACAAATACTAAATTACTTAGAAAGTAATTAAAACTTAATAAAAAGATTTTGTATATCCCTAGCATTAATTTAAAAAATAGATAATGATAGAGATACTTAATTTTGGCAAAAACCGAGTGTCCTCGAGGCACCTATTAAGCATTATCTAAATGAATTTATTGTCGAATTTCGAAAAAAATTCAAAATCAAATATTTGAATAAAAATGAATAATATATTACTATAAATATTAAGTATTTATTATTTTATATGGTATTATTTTTAAGCCTTAACAATAAGTTATATAACTAAAAAGGAAAATGAAAATTGATTTGGACCATTAAATCACTCTTAATCAGTATTGCCACAAGGGTCTTAATTTTTTACTTAGATTGTTTTATTAAATGATGTGACAATACATGAATATTGATATATAATTTAATAGTTTATATATACTATAATTATCAATGCATCACTAAATGTGATAAGATTTACATTCCATGATTTAAAAAAAAATTCTGGAATAAATATCACATCACTTAGTAAAAAATATTTTGTAAGAAACTTAAATACATCTAGCATTATTCAAAAACAAAAATATTCTAAAGCTTTCCTCTCTAAAAATACTCGCAAAGCGCGCACGCACACGCACACGCACACGCACACACAGAGACATATATATATATATATATATATATATATATATATATATATATATATATATATATTGTAGGCTACCAAGCACAAACTCTTTCAATCAAACAATAAAATAAAATAAAATAAAATAAAAAATTCTTTATTGATGCAACTAGTGGGTTATTGGTTAGACCGGTGGCCCAATCAAATTATTGGATAATTGGTTCAATTAGTGGGTTATTGGTTAAACTGTTGATAGTCCGCATTATAATATATTTTGCTACATCACTAAAAAAATTAAGTAAAACATGATTTTATTATTCATTTTTACTATTTAAAATACTATTCATACACTCACAAATCATTTTTCGTTTCACTATTAATATCTTTTTCTTTATCACTTTGGTTCTCAATTTTTCTATACTTATTTGTTTCAATTTCAAACTTTAATTGTATTGTAATTTAGTCCCATTTTGTTTTAGTATTTTATTTTAATTATTTATATTATTTAAAATGTACTACTTTAATTTGCCTTTTTTTTTAATACAGTCATATGTTATTAATATTATGATCATATCATAATAATATTATTTATCTACTCTAAGCATTCACTACTTATTTATTTATTTTTGAATTAAATAATTAAAATAATTTTTTGGCTTAACCACTCAATGATTCAAATTAATATGATTTTTTATTTTAATATTATTCATTCTTTTGTAAATAAATATATAAAAATTAAATTCATATTTTTTCAAAAATTTCTCATCAACATTAAATAAAAAAAATATATTTGTTCAATTCTATGTAAGTTTTTAATAGTTGTTATTTATGTTTTTCGATATAATCTTATGAAATACTAAAAAAAATTTTAAAAAAATTTATTTAATTTTCTTTTTAGTTAATAATCCATGGATTGATAAGGATAAATCCTTTTTCTAAAGGAAAAATTATGAAAAAAAAATAGTTAAACATAAATTTTTTGATTAAAAAATTATAAATAATTTTTTTCACTTTTGATTTCATATATTTTTTTTAAATGATTTTATATATTTTATCCAACCCATAGCATAGCACGGGCAAAAAAATTAATATGAATCATAAATAAAATGGTGAAAATAAAAAATGCATAATTTAAATAGTTGGAGAGGCATCAAGTTCAACCCTCAGAAGTTCATTAGGTTCAAATCTCGAGAAGGATGGGATGAGGTTTTCGAGTTAAGAGGACAAAACGATTTTTATTAATTTCTTCATTAATTTTTTAGATTATTAATTGTTTGCCTTTTATAGATAGATGGTCTTATCTATTTTCCATAAACAGTAGTAGCAGCATAAAAAAATGAATCTAATCTATAATCAATATGTATAATTCTTATTCATAAATAGTTAAGGAAAGTGACATGGAACATTAATTGAAGGAGATTTGATTGGATTGATATCCTCTTAAATTATAAAATTCAAAATGATAGATGTGATTTTTTAATACATGCATGTGAAAAATAATAAAGGTATAAATACTTCTATTTCTATTTCTTTTTTTCTTTTGTATAAGTTAAATAATTAATTTCAAAATAAATAATGAGATTTGGATCCGTATTATATTGTAACGTGGATGATATTGGTGTCAATAAATCATTTAAATTCAAAAATTTAATCTGTTCAGGTAAAATTTTAAAAATAATTTTATATTATTCTCTAACATATTTTTTTTAAATGAAACCTTTTTAAATTTAAAATTTTTTTAAAAAAAAAATCCACACTATCTTATGCTTAATTAGAAAAAAAAGTGATAAAATTCGAACTTGTTATCATTTATTTATCAAAACTCCAATACTATATTATCAATCTAAAAGTTTAAAATATTATGTGGGATTTCAAAAATTATTTTATTTTATTTTTTAACAAATTATTAAATACAATTATTTTGGAAGTGAAGCTATTTTTATTTATTATTTTTTCATAGATAAGAATGCTGCCCAAATTATATATTTTCTTTGTTGAATGAAATGCATTTTCTATACAATGCACTACAATGCTATTTCCATTTCCGAAATAGTCTGTTTCCTTTTTAAAATGATTTTTATTTTAATTTTGCTTCCAAAATGGATGTGCTATTTCCGAAAACAACTTAATTGAAAGATGTGAACATGAAATGACAACAATTTGGTCAAAGAACGTATCGTATTTGTCCGGATCAGAATTAATCTTATTTCTATTCCAGGGGTAGGGTGGGAATACTTGGAATATCGATAAGCTCTTGCATGGCATTAACAAATTTGTACTATGCTTCAGTCCCAAGTTTCCTTGCTCTATATAAACTGATGAATTACACGTCTTATATTTTCAAATTTGAGAAAGATCACAACTTCCCTTTACCCTCATTCCTCCGATCTCTCCCTTCATAAGAATAATGGATCCTCCATTTCACGAGAAATACAAACCCCTCTTCAACAATTGTGTTATACTATCAAAACACAAGGATGATTTTCTAATGAATGTTGACGAGGAGTGTGAGCTGCCTCTCATAGATCTTCAGCGTTTGACTCTTAACTACTCGGAGAGAGAGCAATGCGTAAAAGAGATGAGGCAGGCTGCAAGGGAATGGGGATTCTTTCAGGTTGTCAATCATTGGGTTCCACAAGAGATTTTGAAGAGCATTCAACTCGAGCAAAGGAAGGCTTTCCATCATCCATTCAGCAAAAAGGCTGAAGAGAACATTTTGAACTTGTCTGCAAATAGTTACAGATGGGGGAACCCTAGAGCCACTTGTCTGAGGCAGCTCTCGTGGTCAGAAGCCTTCCACATACCTCTCACTGATAGTTCAAGAATTGGTGATGCCTACAAAAGTCTCAGGTGCCTGTTAAATTTCCTAATATATTATAGCTAGACTAATTAAAAACTAGTTATGAAAATTCTGCATAAAATAAATGAATGATTTTGGGATTCTTCCGAGTGTGTGTATATATATACTTTTTTATAGCAATGATATTTAGAGTATATACGCATACTTAAAATGTCTAAAATGTTACCAAATCAGAAGTTAATATATAGATTCACACCAGATCTTTTGAAAATCAAATGCTCAGCTTTGAATCCTCTATGCAATATATATACAAAAAAACAAGTTCAGTTTATCAAATCAAACTCAATGAGTACAAATGTTAAAGCTAGAGATGTAAAGTACTCGTATTGGCCTGTGTTTTTGCATAGTTTATGCACCCCTTAGCTCGGGCATGAACCTCCTGTTTTGTTTTGTTTTGTTTGTTTTGTTGTTTGCACCTTTTTTTCACTTGCTGCTCTTCATTTTTGGCAGCTTGACTCTTGTTTCTCGTTTCTCCAATTTAGTTCCTCTAGTTTAGCAAAACGAATTAATTAGTCCTTTGAGTATTAGAAATAATTTAATAGTCCATTTGGTTTCATATTCTGTTAATTAATTAGTCCTTCCGTCAATTCTCTATTAATTAATTAGTTCCTCTAATATGAGAAACAATTTAATAGTCTTTTAGCTCTGTATTTCATTAATTAATTAGTCCTTCAAGAATTTCAGAAACCATTCCCAACAATAGCAACCACAAAATAAAGAAATTGCAACAAAAAAATTCTTTTTTTATGTTGTTTTTTCTCAGAAATTAAAAGAAAAGAGGGATGAGGCGTGATTATTTTATATTTTAATTATACTAAGAGTGAAGCTAAGTCCACAACATTAGTGCCTTAATAATGTATGAACAGATATAAACAATCGGAACGGTTCATCCACTATTTAATTAGGCAATGTTTGCATGAATTTAGAATGACTCACCAAGGATTTAGTTCCACTCTTATACTAATAATTTAAAAAAAAAAAAAATTCAATTGATTTGGGTTTTTTTTTTAAAAAAAAAAAAAAGAAAGAAAAGAGAAAAGTAGATGAAATTAAAATTTTGATAACAAAAAAATGGCATTTTTGAAAAAAAAAAAAAAAAAACAACAAATTGTGTTAACATCATGACCTTGTAAATCGAGAATTGTCAGAAGGACTAATTAATTAATAGAATACAAAACTGTAAGGACTACTAAATTACCTCTCATACATGAGAGACTAATTAATTTGTTTTACTAAAATAGAAGGACTAATTTATAATTAACAACCCAGTTGGTGTGTTCTTAGTAATCTATTAGTTTATGAGTCAAAAAAAAAATCAACTACCCAATTGCCTGCCAATTGCAATTAAGAAACCTAGTAAGGATCTTGTGCATCTACAACTTAGTTCTGAAAGAATTGGCATAACATAAAAATAGGGGTCCCGGCCTGGTGTCAATCTGGCTAGCTTCTTAATTGATTAACAAGGCCTTTGAATGGTTTTTGAAAAAGACAAGATCCACAGGGTCATACATTCTACATAGGACAAATAGAGACATAAATAACCGTGCATTTCATTTCCAAAGCTTATCTAGGTCATTTCATGCTCCTATGGTTTCATCCATGCATGGTCGATGTTTCCTTACCACCTAACTCCTAAACATTTGATTGTCCCATTTGTTTAATCATTTCTTATATGCACCTGCATGCTGTTTTCTATTGTCTGTACTTTTTGCGTCTACAATTTTAATTATTTGTTGCTGTAATATCTCAGTATGCAGCTTCTATCTTTGTCTTCTTTTCTCTATTAACTTTTGCTTGCATATATATATATATATATGTGTGTGTGTGGTGTCTTATTAATTTGATCCCATCTTATCAGAAATAAAATATGCACGTGATCAGTCAATTTTCATGCCCCAGGTGCAATCGCCTGCCAAGTCACAAAAGTTGTAGGGCTTACAGTAACAGTAGTTGTTTGGAATTGCTGCGAGTTGCCTAAACATTAAGGATTTTAGGTTTTTGCATTATTATTATTTTTTCTTTTTACACTTATATATAAAAATAACTATATTGACAACGTGGTTATCAAAAATTTTTAATTAAAATACTTTTTTTTCTGCAAGAATTTAATGTTTTTCTTCGGATATGAAATTTTGTTTAAATATTGTTGCGGGATTGATGGATTTTTCAACCCAATGATATTAAGTTAGAATACCAGAATTAACGGAGAAAAACTCATATTTTGAGCGCCCCCCCCCCCCCCCTCTAAAAACTCATATTTTGAGTCCCCCCCTCTCTTCTTTTTTTTTTTTTTTTTTTAAATGATGTCAATCTCCTTATGTTTTTTTTTTCCCGCATGATTTCGATGTTGGATAGAAAATATATAAATTAAATTTTTGTTAACCATATTAATAATTTAATTTTTTTCAATTAAAATTTCATTAAAATCTGACGTGATAAGAAAAAAATATTGATAGTAAAAACTAAAATTTCTTACCATGTCGGATATTAATAGAATTTTAATTGAAAAAAATCACACGTGTTAATATGATTAACAAAAAATTAGTTTATGTATTTTATGTCCGATATTAAAAGAATATGCTAGCATGATTAAAAATATATATAACATTTGTATTTTTTTATACAATATAAACTTAATTTTTTTCAATTAAGTCTATATTGTCCTATCTCTCTCTCTTTTTTTTTTTTTTTTTTCATCTAGACCATTGCAGGTTTCTCACTTGCCCCCCACCCTCTATTATTTTTGCTCTTGTTTTTTCACTGAAAAGGGTAGTCCTATCTCATCTCGCAATTTTTCAAAAAAGGGTCTGAACTTGTATCTTTAGGTGGAAATTTCAAGTCCTGAGAACTTGACTGTTTTCTCGGGGACTTCAAATTTTTCTTTTCTTTTTTTACTTTTCATTTTTCCATTGCAAGGCAAACTTACGGATATTGATATGGAGGGCCTCCTAATGCAAATCATCCTTTCAACTTAACTGTACATATATATTTGGTTATACATGTATATTATGAACTTGTTTGTAATCTTTTCAACACTAATCCATCTTTACAGAGCAAGCATTGAAGCTTTTGCAACAACGGCTGCCAAATTGACTAAAGACATGGCAGAAATTCTAGCGGAGGATGTGGGTGTTTCATCCACTTTCTTTCAAGAGAATTGTCTGCCAGGAACTAGTTATCTTCGAATGAACAGATATCCTCCATGTCCATTCTCTTCCAAGGTCTTTGGCTTGATGCCGCATACCGATAGTAGTTTGCTCACTATAGTAAATCAAGATCAGATTGGAGGATTGCAACTATGGAAAAATGGAAGATGGATTAACGTTAAACCTAATCCAGAAGCTCTAGTGATTAATATTGGTGACTTATTTCAGGTATGTTTCTTATTGTTAGAGAATAATATAAATTATATTTTGAACCTCATCTAATAGTTTAAACTTTTAGATGAGATGTTCTTTTGATATAGTATCAAAGCCTTAATAACAAAAAAGATTTTACTATAGAATAATATAAATCATATCCTTATGTCTCATCTAATAGCTCAAGTTCCTTATTTAAAAAGATTAGACCTCATCTAACAACTTAAGTTTTTTATCTAATAGTTAAAGTTTTTAGACGAGATAACCGTTTAACACCTATTAACTTGATGAGGATGTGCAAATAAATAAGCATTGATGTGACCCACTCGCTTGACTCTATCAAGTTGTGGTAATCTAAAATGACCTATATAAATTTATCCTCTTGTATCGTAAGTATGGAGAAAATATACTATGGTTAGGTCTTAAAGTAATTGTTTTTTTCCTTTATACCCCTTCTAGTATGCTCATGTTTATCTTTAACAAAAGTGCAGGCATTAAGCAATGATGTTTACAAAAGCATCAAGCACCGGGTACTTGCCCCCCAACAAGATGAAAGGTTTTCTTTGGCATTTTTCTATTGCCCCACTTGTGATACTGAGATAGAGAGTTGCATCAAGCCATCAATGTATAGGAAGTTCACATTCGGAGAGTTCATGGAGCAAGTTCGGAAGGATACCCAAGCTACTGGTAGCAAAGTTGGGGTCTCAAGGTTTCTTATGTGAATGAGCACATATGTGCGCCGGAAAAATTCAAGATGGAATTAGTTAAATAAAAGTTTCCTCCTAGTATTGTGTCGATTATTTAAATTGCAACTTAATTAATTGGTAGTTTCAATTTCTGTAATATTAGAAAAAAAATTTCCTCCTAGTACTGTCTGGATTTTTTTTTTTTTAATAGGGAATCATTGTTTGAAATAGAATATAGCATAAGCTTTTTTTTCTTTTTTTCTTTTTTTCTTTTCCTTTTTAAGTACTTGGAGCAGGAAGTGGGGTTTTCACGAGGGTTTCCGGTATCGTAACTAGTCCCTCACTTTATGAGATAGTTGTCTGAAAACTTGTGAAACCTTGATTTTTTTTTTATTTATTATTTTTTTTTTCCTTCTCTCTAAAGTTAGATAGAAAAAGTTGGAGAAAAGCTTGGTGTCATGCGGAATTGAAAAGATTAGTAATTTGAGGATAATGGGGATGTGACTCATAATTTCTAAGGAGACCATTCATCCTACTTATTGCCAGACCACACCCATGATGATATGACATGTTAAATCTAATACTGTATTTGTTTTGGGAAAAACAAGATTGAGAAATTTATTTTTTTTATTTTTCAGTATTTGTTTCGTGTTTAAAAAAAAATCAACGAAAAATGATTTTCAGTCAATGAAAAATTATAAAGTATTTTTGAAAAAATGTTTTTCTAGTTATAAAAAAAAAGGAAAACATTTTTTTTCTCACGAGTCGTTTCGCTTTCGTGTTACTTATCTTTCTCTCGATATATTTTAACAATTTTTTTCTCTATCTTCTTTTTATTTAAAATATGTCAAATTAATTTTTAATTTTCCTTATCAATTATTATTTAATTATTTTTCTCTATTTCTACTAATATTTGATTTTTTGATTTATAGATACATTAAATACTCTTAAAAACCATTTTTACAACTTAAAATTATTTTTATAATAAATACTTCAATAATTTATCTCTATTTTTTTTACTATTATCTCAAACATCACCTAAACTATACTTAAATGATTGAAAATGATTATTACAAGACTGTAATTTTTTATAAAAAAATTTAAAATTATTTAATTTATTAATAAATATATTATTTTTTCAATACTATTCATTTACAACTAAATCAATAATTTATAATTTTAATTAGTTATAAAATTTTGTTGATAATTATAGTGAATGATTAGTTACAAATTATTACAATATTAATCTTTTGAAACCAAATGAATAATTATCTACAAATGATAACTAATAATTTATAAAACTATTTTTCGGACTAAATTATCAATTCAATTTCTAAAAAAAAGAATCCTTACTTGAGTTACCAAAATAACAATACTAGGATTACTTAGAATTTTTTTTCTTTTTTACTAAATGTGAATATTGACTTGATTTTGTCCAAAGTAATTTTGATAAATTGGTTTGATGATTAAAAAAGTATATTTTATTTTTTGACTTAAAATTTTAGAGTTAGTATCAATAAAAATTTATTAAATTTTTCTAAATATATCTTATATTGTGAAATTGTCAATATGTCTTTTTGAAGTTTTCTCAAAGCGTGTTGATATAACAATCACATACTTTTTTTGTATTTTAATTTTTCTTTATCAAACAAACATTGTAATATATTTTCTAATAGTTTTTTCATGTAATTACCAAACAGCAAAAAATATTTTTTGGAAAACAATTTTCTAGAAAATAAATTTTTCAAAAATTAATTTTCCTATGAAAGTTGTTTTTCCTCAAACAAACGGAGCCTTTATATAAAATTGAATGGATCAAATACTATGAGTGAGTTCATTCCAATAAATTTATTGTGGTAATTATTTTTTAAACCAATTAATTTTATTATTCAAACATAAAAAGTTAGTAATTTTTAAGGTTAAGGGAAGAGAGAAAGTAAGTATATATATTGGTTGAGGGAATTCAGATATTAAGAACCTTTGGAGTAAAGTAAGACAAAGAGGGATTTATGAAAATGAGGGTGAGTATTAAAACCAATTGATTTTATTATTCAAACCTCCTACTATGATCTGTATAAACTGATCCCACAGTGACGTTCCATCGTCAGACAATTGCTTTTATTCCGATATTCAAGTACAGTTCTTATCTTCAAGACAGCTTCAGAAGTGAGACGTCAATCAATCAAAAATAAGAATTTCTGAATTCTGTCCACAAGTTGTACCAGCATCAGTTGAAAGTGCAACCACTTATGCTTTAAATATGTTTTGATTTCTTCTTCGCACAAAAGAGCACAATTTCCCTACCATTTTGGCTTAACTCAAACACAAGAAGCAAGGTCATTTGAAGTAGGGGAGAGCACGGTTTTTCGGTTTCCGTGATCTTCAGCATTTTGGTCAATGGAATTCACCTAAAGGACTGAATTTAAACCAAATTTCTATTTGGTTTTTTGGTTTATCAAATTGAATTTTTTTTTTCGATAAAAACCAAAAGTTTTTTTTTTCAAATTCTCTTAAATAATGTAAATATGCCAAAAAGAAATATTATGTTATGGACTATGGAGTCCTTTTTCTAGTACAAATAGTTTAAATATGCCAAAAAGAAATATTATGTTATGAACTATGGAGTCCTTCTTCTAGTATAAATTGTTTAAAATAACCTATATAAAAGATAATAAATATTATTTAAATAAGACTAAATTAGAAAATCATACCATATAATAAAACATCAAAATTTAAATACAAATTCACTAATCCACATCTAAAATATATAATAATAAAAATCATTGATTTTTTAAATATATTATAAACCGAACTATCACAGTTCAAATAACAATCAAAAGTTCAAACATTGTTGTAAGAAAAAAAAAATTGGTTTTCAAAATCAAACTGAAACCGAATAACCAAAATTGATTCAATTTTAATTTTTTTAATTGAATTTAATTAAAAACTAAATCGAATTGGTATTTGATTTGGCTAATGGGTTTTAACCGAATACTACTCATCTAATTCTTGATATGATTCGATTAACCGGTTTTAACCAAAAGTTATTCACTCATAGTTAATTTGAAATATGTCATGGACTTGGGATTTTGCAGTAATACCTTTTCACTCACAACTCAAAAGTACTTCTGGATTCTAGCCTCGATAGGCTAAACAAAAACTTTGTAGATCACCTACACATTTAGATTTGACTTTTCTTTTTTATTATATATTTTTTTTGGTTTATTAGTATTAAAAAATAATATAAAATTATTTTTAAATTTCATCTAACAATTTAAATTTTTAAGTTAAAATGATTCTTTAATATGATATCAAAATCTTAATGATTAAACAGTTATGACTACGAATTTGATTGCTCATACTTGCTCTTTTAATTAAATAATTAAATGTAAGATATAATGGGTATTTATAAGTTTTAAGTTTAAAGAGTTTTTACTTGAAAAAATATGTGATTTACTCAACAACTTCAACTTTTGAGTTGAATATTTTTTGACAATTAGAAGGTTTATTTTGAATCAAAGAGCTTATAGTCTAGTGGTAATATTCTTTTATAATAATAGATCATGGATTTAAATCTTATTAAATTAGTTCTGTCAAGAACCTTGAGTGTATAAGTTAAAAAAAAAAAAAAAAAGGTTTGCCTTGAGTATTAAAGTATACAATGGAACAAACACTTCTATTTGTCCTCTCACATTTCTGAAATTTGAATCTAAAATCTCTATACTACAAATCCAAGCTTTAGTCACTAAATTCTCAAAAAGAAAACCTGAGGCCTATGATGCTGAAATATCGTTAGAATTAATAGCACTATCAGTTTGGGATTTTAATTTACAGTTCTCCCGTCATTGGATTTGGTGTTTTAGGTTCGAATTTTGGTGCCTTTTTAAGGGGTATTGAACTCACTTGCTAAATTTAACAATTCTATTAATTATTATTATTATTATTATTATTATTATTTAACGATAAGTGAATGGAAGGATAACCTTGAAACTGTTCGCTAATAAAAGTTTGGGGTACATCAATTGAATTGATTTTACGATTGATATAGGGTGAAAATGAAAGCTCTAGAGGGACAAAATCATAGTTAACCCGCCACTTGCCCATTTTAACATGGAATTGCAAGGAAAGGATAAGTACACTTCCCAACACTTCATCATCCTATTTTGGTAGGACAACGAAATTTTCCTTGTCGAACTCTATGTCCTGCAACAAATAGAGATGTAACACTTCAAGGTTAGTTGGTATATGCAAATGGTGGTGGCGTGGCCACCTTAGCTTCAATGTTTGCCTGCTTGTTACCGTACCAATGAGACAACCTTGACCCCAAAGTTAGTTCACATTTGTCGATAATTGCAGATTGCAACCCAATTTGACACCCCCCATACATTGGAGAGAAAATGAAACTAGTAGCCTCCAGGAAACCTGAAAAGAAAAAACACCAACTTCACTCTAGCCAGCCGAAGGAAAAATACAAATTGTACTTTATCAAGAGCAACAACTACAGTTTTTTTTTTTTTTTAATATATATATATATATAAAGTCCAGCAAGGGAACATCTGTCTTCCATGCTTCACGAAGACATGAAATGACCCACCACTGGCTCTTTTTCCTTCCTTTTTTCTTTTCTTTCTCTTTTTTGTCTTTCATAGATTCCTCCCCCTCCCATTTTCAACAGCGGTCATTTCCCCGTAATTGTTGATGTTCTTTTTAGAAAAGTTCTTAGCATCCTATCTTTTTTTGTCTTCAACGCATGGTTCCAATTATTTTGAACTTAAGCGATCGAGTGCTACAAACATGCACGAAGCTCAAGAGCTCGTGTGTATATGATTTCTTTCTTTCAACTTTTGGGCCTAACTTTACGGTCAAAGCCATATGATGCAATTCTGACAAGGTGGGTTTTCGTTTCAACTTTCAAAGAGTAATTAAGAGCCATTCAAAATCTAAATAGCAAACCTCAATTATCGGTGCATTATTAACTTTGCTCCCAAACAATTTTTTGATATCAATTTTATCTCCAAACAATTTGAATTTTTCAA